GTTTACCTTCCTCGCCCCGCCTAGTATCAACGGGTAATGTGAAGTGTGCTGGAGGAGGGGGGGAGGGGGAGGCACCAGCTGACACCTGGTGAAGACAGCTGGTGCCGTCAGCTGTTTTGACCCCTGGGGCCGTCAGCTGTTTTGACCCCGGGGGCCGTCAGCTGTTTTGACCCCTGGAGCCGTCAGCTGTTTTGACTCCTGGGGCCCTCAGCTGTTTTGACCCCTGGGGCTGTCAGCTGTTTTGACTCCTGGGGCCCTCAGCTGTTTTGAAAGTTGGGGCTGTCAGTGGTGCAGTGGTAAGACACTCGCTCCTCGCTTGGTGGGCGATTATTTAAAGCTTTCGAACAAAGTGTTTGACTTGAAGTTTTCTTTAAGTTCCTTTAGGCAACCAATAACGCTTCTGAATAGTATTACATGGAACACCTTTAGGATTTACATGTTATTCGTAACTAGAAATCCACAAAACGGAAATTTAATGAATTAATAATAATAATAAAAGAGCTTTTTAATGAAAAATGAGTATTAGTGTTGATTATTTATACGTACTCGTTGTTTCACTATTAACAAAAGTATGACAGACTGAAGAGGAATCTCTGAAAAAAAAAATACGAACGTGCTCAGGGTTAGATTATTTTTGACAAAAATTTTTTAATTTGTCAAAAAAGACAAATTTCATCCAAACTTTTTTTGAGATATATACAAGAGTTGTTACATTGTTGTAGAGCCACTAGTACGCGTAGCGTTTCGGGCAAGTCCTTAATCCTATGGTCCCTGGAATACGATCCCCTGCCGCGAAGAATCGTTGTTACAACCAAGTACACATTTTACTGTTGCGTTAAACAGAGGCTACACTTAAGGATTTGCGCCCAGTAAATCCTCCCCGGCCAGGATACGAACCCATGACATAGCGCTCGCGGAACGCCAGGCGAGTGTCTTACCACTACACCACGGAGACTGCACCTGCACCTATTGAACTCTCAATAGATCGTTTAAGGAGAGACTGTACTAAGACAATACACGTTGTTGTACATAAGTAATTCTCTCAATCTAAATCTGATAATTTCCTGTGCAGACGAGAAGTCACAATAACGTCTAGTATCTTGTAGCATCTTAGCATAAATAGCATCTTATTGCTTCTTATTTACAATTATTACTTAACCTATCAACGGTATAGGTTAAGTAATAATTGTAATTAAGAAGCAATAAGATGCTTATCTTAACATACTAAGAAGGTTAGGTGAGGTCGGTGTTTTCTATGAAGCTTTTCAAGGTAAACTAAAATATTTACAATCAATTAGTATGTCACATATGCACTTATTAAATAAGCCAATATTGACCATAAGCAAATGCGAGAACGGGTTGGTTGACCAGACTACACACTAGAAAGTGAAGGGACGACGACGTTTCGGTCCGTCCTGGACCATTCTCAAGTCGATTGCGATTCAAGTCACAATCGACTTGTTAATGGTCCAGGACGGACCGAAACATCGTCGTCCCTTCACCTTCTGATAATTAACTCTTTCGACAGCAAGAGTAGAATCCAATTAACTACATCACGGCTGATAGGGGTCCATGGCGGACCAAAGCATTGTTACCTTCACGTGTATAGGTTAGATAGTTGTATTAACTACTTTGGCTACCATTTTCACCACTTTCAAGTTCCTTAAGGCGTGCCATCAATGGCACGTGTGCCATAGGTTCACCACCCCGGCACTAAGCCAACTACTGACCTTCCTTAGGATGCAAGCCATAACAGTTGCCTAATCCCCGTGTGCCTATTTACTATTAGGTGAACAGATGCACCCGGTATTTTTCAATGGTATTGTTCCCATTCACAGAGGTAAATAATAGATTGGTTCTCATTGCCAATCATTATGTTCTGCAACCTTTCAAGTCATTGGCTATTCAATGTCTCACAGACGGACGCATGTACTGGGAATAAAACGTTCCAAGTAGCACGGTCTATGGTGAGCCCGTAGCTTACCTGGCACAGGAGCGGGGCAAGTAGCACGGGATATGGTGAGCCCGTAGTGGACTTACCTGGCACAGGAGCGGGGCAAGTAGCACGGGCTATGGTGAGCCCGTAGTGGACTTACCTGGCATAGGAGCGGGGTAAGTAGCACGGACTATGGTGAGCACGTAACTTACCTGGCACAGGAGCGGGGCAAGTAGCACGGGCTATGGTGAGCACGTAACTTACCTGGCACAGGAGCGGGGCAAGTAGCAAGGGCTATGGTGAGCCCGTAGTGGACTTACCTGGCACAGGAGCGGGGCAAGTAGCAAGGGCTATGGTGAGCCCGTAGTGGACTTACCTGGCACAGGAGCGGTGCAAGTAGCACGGGCTATGGTGAGCCCGTAGCGGACTTACCTGCCACAGGAGCGGGGCAAGTAGCACGGGCTATGGTGAGCCCGTAGTGGACTTACCTGGCACAGGAGCGTGACAAAGTAGCACGGGCTATGGTGAGCCCGTAGCGGACTTACCTGCCACAGGAGCGGTGCA